CTGCTCTTCTTCTAAAAAGGGGAAAGCACCAGTGCTGTGCTGGCCCGTGGCCCCATCAGTAGGGAGGAGTGCCACAGGCTCTGCATGGTCCCCTGGGTCTGATGGGACCCCAAAGGATGTGCAGCTCTGCTCGGGACATGTGCCACCATGGGCAGTCCCCACGGTGTGACACCACCAGCAGCCTGCCCCCAACCTGCTGCTGGGACACACAGAGCCCTTCATCCCCAGGGCTGCTCATTTCCCTCCTGTGGCTGCTGCCACAACACACAACATCAGTGCTCTCACTGTAGGGGCAAGCCTGTGATCTGCCTTTGGATGCGGTCACCTCCAAGCAGGATCCTGCCAAGGAAGCCCTCCTCGTGGCCACGGCTGCTCTCCTGCAGAGGGAACACTGCCCTTCAGTCCCCCAAATGCCACCACCAAGCTGCAGCCACAGGCCACCTCACTGCATTGCACTGCTGCCATCAGATACCACCCCATGGTATGGGCAAAATACAAAGGACAGATGAGAAAGGGCTGGGATTTGTGAGACACAGCGTGTTCCACACTGCCTGTACCTCCTACGTGCTGTGGCACTGTGATTATTCTGCAGTAATTAGTTAATAATTACAAGCTGACCAGCCCTTGGGAACATCCGTAGCAGAAGGAGCACGACGTGCCTTAGGCTGAATGCAGATTTCCTTACAGCTTTAATCATTGCTTCAATTTGAGGCACGGATGCCAGAAAGGTTTTTCAGCCCACAGTAACACAGGGGCAGTTCTCACCTCTCCGACTGCTGCCTGCTGCAGGACAGCCGTGCACTTCACCACCAGCTGTGCCGTGGATTTGGCCATTACCCCATGGATGGGGATGAGAGGGATGGGGATGGGGCAGGACTCACCTAAGTGTTCAACCCTGCTATGAAACATGAGGGGATTTGTGATGCTCGATGACAGAAGGGCCATGCACTGTGCTGCTGAGGGCTGACTGCAGCAATCAGTGCTGATTTGCACCACTTGAGTGCTTGGTGAAGCATGGCAGAGAGGAGTTTAACCTCCTGACTGGGGCAGATGCAACGGGAGGACATTTCCTGGGTGAAAAGAGGTCACCTCCGCTGCTGCAGCGCCCTTCAAACCAGTTATAGAGCCTGCAACACTGAAAGGATCCAAAGCACCACTGCTAGCAGGATCTCCGCCTCCAGCACCTGCACATTGGTGGCATTTGCTCCAGCACTGCATGATCTGACAGCCCGTGAGTCATTCCTCCAAACATTTCAAGCCATGCCATAAATCCAACCTCCAGGTGATGTTCCATGCCAGAAAAACACCCCCCAGATGGATCTTGATGCATGTGTATTTTCACAGGTGCAGAGCTCAGGCTCCCATTCGTACACCACATGTATGAGACTGAGATGCTCAGCAGCACAGTTCAGGAGCAGACAGTGCTGGGGAGAAGAGGGGGAGATGGAGACACCGAGGGGTTTGAAGCTACACCCAATAGGGCTCATAAATCACAGCCCTGAGTGGTTCCAGCAAAGGTTAGCACTTATCCAATAATTCAATGGATCGAACAAAGATAGCATCTCTTCCCCATGCACTGAGGACAGGGCAGCAAATCTCATCCCTCTCCATCCTGGTTTACTTCCTCCTCTCTGCACCACAAGCAGCAAAGCCCTGCACGTTCCCACAGTACCAGGCACCGACAGCACTGTCTCACCAATTTGCTCCTTGGATAATATATGATTTTCATTACGTTGGCCCTGAGGATCAAGGGTGCAAAAGGCAGCAGTGAGAAATAGCCTCTGCTTCAGAATGCCCTCGGTTTCAGTCTGCAAGGGGAGATACAAGGGAAGAACAGCATGGGGCTCAACGCAGTGTGTGCAGCCAGAGATGCTCTGAAACACCTCCACCTGAGCTGCCCTGGGGGATCTGGTTCCCAAAAAAAGCAATGAGCATTAATCTTGGAAAACAGCAGGTCCAACAGCCCCCAGTTCCACAGCAGGAGCACTTCTGAGCTATTTATCCTCCCAGCGTGGCATGGGCAGAGCCTGGCGTCAAATGGGGGCATAGGAACACAGCCAACTCCAACAACTCCAACCCCAAAGCCTGGAGCTCCCTCCCACATCACAGCTTGCACTCTTAAAACCATGGGTCATTACACATCCAGCACAAGAGGGAATGTTAACAAGAGCCCAGCTGCTGCTCAGGTGGATCAGTGGGGCTGAGATCTGTGGGCATTTCGCTGCAAGAATGGGGAGAACTTGGGCTGCCTGCAAAGATCTGCTCTTAGCTGTGGTGGCTTGGAGCTCATTCCTAACGCAGTGAGAAAACCCAGAAGGTAAGAGAACACAGCTTTCTGGTTGTGACTGCAGATAAAGCATGGCTAAGCCTCAGAAAGGAGAGAGGCAGAGAAAGAACAGGGGAGATGAGATGCTGAAGCCGCGTCAGCTGCACAGATGAACCCACAGCCATCTCTGCAGGCTCTGCTCTGTGGCTTGAAAACAATTTCAGCCCTTCACTGCCCCTGGCTGAGCCACGCAGGCCAGACAAAGCAGCACAGGATTGCAAGAGGCTGAGCAAACAACCAGCTGAGCAGCACTGGCTGCAGGCACAATGCTACCTGAAAAGAAACCTGGATTAGACAGAGAGCAAAAGATGCTTCGTCTGATTACAGTTCGACTCTGCAAAGTTAATTGTTGGCTAGATTGTAATCTGGGCTGCATTCATCAACAGGTCGCTCTCTCTGCTGTCGGTTTTCCCTCTACAAACAGAAGTGAGTTAAGTGGGAGAAAAGCAAATCCTGCATAACCCTGCATGGGCAGAGCCTGTTGCAAGCAGGGGCCCCTGGAAGCACAGACCTTTTGTCTTTCTGCCTGTATGGACGTAAACCGAGCCTGTGCTGTGCAGCAGTGGCAGAGGTGATTGACCTCTCGGAGTTGCAGTGCACCAATTACCCACAGCAAAACTCACTCCAAACTCTGCAGCTGGCCCAGGGACCCCTGCCCTGCTGCCAATGCCAGGGAGATGCTGCTTCGCCTCAGCTCAGCATGGAATGAGAGCGTGGGAGGCCTTTACAGTGCATAAACCCTCCTGGAAACTCCTCTGGTTATTTGGACACGACTCCAAACACGTGTCCCAGGTTTTCTGGAGGTTCTCAAAGCTCCTGGCCCAAACCTCAGCTCTGTGAGGAAGCCAGAGGAATGTCTCAGGGTTTACAAGGAATGGCTAGGCAGTGATTTCTCTCCAGCAGCCCAGGCTTAAGGGATAATTTCAGTGGAAACTGCAGCAGTGATGTTTGAATGCATACATGAGGCAAATACACAAGTTTCTGCCTCCCTCAGTCAAGGGAGCAAAGGAGGGATGCTCATGGACTCAGAGCAAAATTCTGCAGCACCTGGAGCAAATCATTTCGCCTCTCCACTTCTCCCAGATGCAAAACGAAGCTGTTGTCATCTATCTTGTTCAGTGACAGCGGCAGCACCAGAAAGCAGAACCCACCTCCGTGCCCAGCTGCGATGAGCAACGCAGAACCACGGCAATAAACGGGTACGAAAAGCAGGAGCTGCAGATTCAGAACAGCAGGGCACGCCTGCTGCATTTCAGTCACCTGTAATGCATGAATATGTGACACCACCACTTTGCTCTTTGTCACTGCTCAGCACTGCCTGTCTGAAGGGTCCATTCAAGGGACCACAAAGAGTGCTTGTTTTGGTGCAAGGGGCCCTCCCAGCTCTGAAACAAGTGTTTTCCTGCTTCCATGCCCGTCTCTGCCACCGTCCCAGGGCTTTACACAGCTTGGGGAGCAAAGCTGTGTGAACAAAGCAAGGTCAAGTGTTAACAGATGGTGAACTCAGACGTGGGGATGCAGGGATGGGTCCAAGGGCAGAGGCAGACTGCTGGAGCGCCGCTCTTTAGCCACAGCATTTCTTCTCTTTTTCAAGCAGTTCAGAAAGGATGAACTCAGAGGTTCCCAACTTCTGTTCCTGCCTCTGCTCCTTTTCTTGCACCAAGAGCACATCGCATCCCACTGACAAGCCTGCATCTACTCCTGGGAGGAAAGGATGCATGGTTTGGTGTTTGCATCAAGGAAATCTTTTCAGGATCACAGGAACCAGTGCTGACGGGGTGACCCAGATGCCCCATCACCATCATGTGAGGCCACAGGCAAAACTCCACGTGCACTTACCCCATTCCAGCTCTGTGTCAGCACACACCAAAGCTCTACACACTGCCCCTTTACCAAGCAGGAGGTAATTGGAGCCTATTTCCTTGCAGGAAGAGGGTCCTGGAAGAGGCATTTTCTTTTCTGTATCTCATCCACAGGCACAGCTCTCTGCCCTCTGCTTGTTCAGACCTCTTTCCCTTTGGGCACCTTCTCAACCCCCAGCACACACACATACACACCTCGTGCTGTGCATTTAGCTAATGCAGAGTGCAAAAAAAATAAACCCAAAATAAAAACAACCCCACGACAGCCCCAGGCCTGACTGCTGCTTGCAGAGTTAATGCCACAGCCGTGCCCAGCAGCCTCGCACGCTCATTGCATCTGTTTTTGCAGAGAGAAGAGCCAGTTTAAAGGTGGACTGGCACAGGGCAGGCACGGCACAGACACACATTGACTGCGGTTATGGCTGGGGGGGGTGGGGGTGGTGCTGGAGATGGCGTTGCACACCCAGGAACTTATCCGAGCAACAGGCACGGCTCGTTCTGACAGCCCCAGAAATGCAGCTCAAGGAGCGATCGGTTCAGCCCACTGGGGGAACTTTTGGCCGGAGAGATGGATGCGTGCCCACCCCCCGCCCCAACCCCCACCGAAGGAAAGGCTGAATCGGGCTCCTTGTAGCACCAAAACACGAGCAGGGATCCCTTCCAGAAATTCCTCCAGCACTCGGCGTGCAGCTGAGTTCCCCCCCCATTCCCCCCACCTCCAACTTTTACCGCGTCCCCTCCCTCCACCGCTTCGTGCCCCAAACCGAAAAAGGCTGAGAGCCCCCCGAGCGCGGCCGCAGCCCCGCACTCACCGCACCGCGGGCGCAGCGCTGCTCCCCTCCTTCCTCCTTCCTCGCTGGGGTGCGGGGACGGGCGGGGACGGCGCTGCGGGGCCGAACCGGGGTCGGGAATGGGTGCGGGGCGGGGAGGTGCTGGAAGCGGAACGGTAGCGGCGGCGGTGTTGGAAGCGGTGCCGGTGCGGTGTCGGTATCGGTTCTGGTGCTGAAAACGAAGCGGTGCCGGAGCTGCGGGAACAGGAGCGGTTTTGGCGTCGGTTCTAGTGCCGGAACCAGAACGGTGTATCGATGCCCGAGCTAAAAGCGGAGCGTTGCCTCTGCTGGACCCGGTGCGGTGCCGTTGTCGGTGCCGCTGCTGGAAGCGGAGCGCTGCTCCCGCATTACACGGTGCGGTACCGGCCGCTCGCCCCGCTCCGTTCCGTTCCGCTCCGTTCCGCTCAGGCTCCTCCCCGCCGCAGCCCCGGGTCGGGCAGCCCCGCTCTCCCCGCAGCTCTCCGGGATGCAGCGGCCCGGAGCCAACGGTGCCGGGATGCAGGGAGCTCCGAGCACCGCAGCTTTTCCTCCAACCCGGGCCGCCTCCGTTCTTCGGGCTGCCCCGGAAATTTCAGCCTCCGTCACTCCAGCGGGACAATGTTTTTAGTGGCGGCCTCACCTTCCATTCCCGGCTATTTATGGCTTTAGATTGAGGCAAACATTTGCAGTTTGCCAAAAATAGTGCAGCCGTGGAAATAAATCAGGCTGACTGGAGGTGCCAACGTCGTCTGTCTGAAACTAATTAATTTCTTATATCCCCTGCTATATTCATCCTCGCCCTCCTTCCACAGAGCGCGCTGTCTGTCAGCGGAGTTTTGTAATTAATTGGTTTTGTGTATGAACCTGAGGGGTGTGCAGGGGAATTAATGTGGCTGGGGGAGGGATAGGGGTGCCAACAAGACACCCGTGCGGGGAAGGGACAAAATCCATCTGCACAGAGAACAGGGAGAGTGGCGCTTTGTGGGGAAATCCTATTGCAGGGAAACACGTGGGATCTGCTCTGAGACCCCACAAGGAAAACTGTCCAGAAGAGATATGGGCTTCTTTAGTTCTGCTGCTGCCAGAGCTCCTTTTTCCCTTTTCCTTTTTGAACGTGGGAGTCTTGGGAGACTTGCTGACTCTCGTTTCTTATATTAGAACCATCAAGTTTTGCTGGGAGACGTTTGGAGGAACGGGGAAGTGGTTCACAGATGGCACTGCAAGAAGCATAAAGTTGAGCCCCAGTGGAGGAGCAGCTTTCCAGGCTGCTTAAAACACCATTTTGTTTGTATTAAACTTGTCCCATAGCAACACCCAGCCAAGACCCACAGCCTTTAGTAATGCTTTAGGGCAGGCTCTTGTGGGGCAAAATACTCAGCGCCAGCCCTGCAGTCGGCTCATTTTGGGGTTGTTGGAGCTCACGGGGCTGAACGAACGGGCTTTGACATGGAACTCGCCCCCAGAAATGGACTCTAAGCTCGAGAAATGCTGCCCCAGCAGGAGGTGACAAAGCCCAGCCTCACCATGGGGCTTTGCACCCTTTGCCCCTCGGATGGAGGGGGAGCAGTTGGGGGGATGCAAAGCCAGAGGTGCAACGTGCAGGCTTGAAGCCTGCCCTCCCTTCACCCCTGGTCAATGAGTACCCGGTCATGTGGCTGCAGAGGCAGTGGGGCTCGGGGTGACACAGCCATGAAGCCCTTTGCCTCCAGCTGCCACCTCACCCTTCCCCTCTATGCAAAAAGCAGGCAGCCCAGGGGGGAGATGGCTCAAACACTTCTGTGCCATTCCCAGCAGAACAACTGCTGCCGTGCCCTGCGTACCGCAGTGCTGAGGCCACCTGGCACTGGGATTCTATCCTAAAACAGAAAGCAGAGGAGATCCCCAACACGAGCCATGGCTAATTAAGGAGAGGAAGCCCCCGCATCAAAAAAAGGGGCAGAGAAAAAGGCGATGTGAGAAGGGCAGGAATGTTACAAGCAATTAGCAGCAGAGACACGAGCTCGCTGGCTGTGTCACACAAGCTGCTTATTGGTGCATGACGTTCCCCATCAACATAAATTACAATAATCACCGTGCCGAGGAAGGGCTCGCTGTGAGCCTGCTGGCTTCGGGAGGAGGATGTGCAGTAAAGGAGGGGTGGTGGATTCCCAGAGCTGTGTATCCAAAGGCTCCATGGGTGTGATGGGCTTGTTTTTACCTGGGCCAAGAGCGCAGCAGGGTCACAAGGTCCCAATGAGACTTTATGCCTGCTGATGGGCTGAGTCCATTCCACCAATAGTAGCCCAAAGCAAAGTTGTCCCTCAGCGTGTGCTCTGTGGAGGGCAATGCAAACTGAGGCTGCTGCTGTAGAATTTGGCACCCACAGCGGGTGCCTCTGCAGTTGCATTTGCAAGGCAGTGCCTGCAGGGCGGTTTTCAAACGGGCCAACTTAATGGCTGAGCAAAAGGCGTGCGTGGTTGTTTCTGGGGAGCTTTTTCCTTGAAATTACATCGGGGCTCTGAGGTTGTTTTGTTGTGGTGAAACCCCGTAGTGAAATCCTTGTGGGACGGCAGAAAAAAATCAGGGGTGAAGTGGGCTCAGCGCCATTAGGGGTGTTTTATACAAAAAGAATCTGGCAGGGAAACTACAAGACCTTGTGCAAGTCCATGGCTGTGACCAGCCCAGTTCATGCTGGGGGAGATTTTGCTTAGCAATCCTTCTCCTCCTCCTCCAGTGATGCATTTCCTAACCTGCCTCTCATCTGCTGCAGTCAGGGCAGCACTGGCTCTGCTCTATGCGTGCTCCTGGCACAGCCCTGGGGTTCCTCACAGGTTCCAGACCAAAAGTCTGTTTCTCCAGCTGCCCACATGCAACAGACAGCCTCTCCCCAGCATCCTGCATCCTCCCTCCAGGTAGATGTGATCCCATTAGTGCTGTGCCCTATAAGATCACTCACCCTCCTGCAGTCCACCCCCAGAAACACTCCAGCTGTGTACTAAGCCCCTTTCCTCAGCTGGAAGGGATGCTCCCTCTGTTTGCAGGCTGCAAGCAGGGTGTTTTCCAGGAGCAGTAGGGAAACTGAAGCATCCTGATTGGCATTTTAATCACAGACCTGAGGGTTTTGTCAGGGCTGCTCCTCTCAGAGCCTCCCCTGTCACTGAATGATATCAGCCAGCTCAGGGACAGCAGGAAGAGAGCATCCCAGCCATGCAAGGGTTCAAACCTGCCTGAGGATGGGGCACAGGAGCGTAGCACAGCATGAGGGCCAGGGCATTGCTGGCCTCGTGGAGCTGCTCCATGTGTGGCTCCCGGCCAGATCATTAAATCCTCCCTCGTGGTTGTGAGGCCCCAATGGGGACATTGCATCCATCCGTGGGAGAGAGGGGGGAGAGAGCTGAGGGGCACCAAGGAGGAAAGGAGCAGCAAAAGCATCCCTTGCAGATGAAACAACAAAGCTCCAGACCCAGTTAAGGAAGAGATGGGCCACCAAAAAGTGCTCTGCCCAGTGGGCATCACTGCCTCCACGGGAGAGATTGGGAGCCCCAGGCTGCAGCCCAGCGCTCACACAGCCAAGTCCTGTCAAACCTTGTATATACAGGAGTGGATTCTTTGTGACAGCCTAGGCTGGAGCCTGGGTGAAATGGCAGCAGCACGAATGTGCTGCACTCACAGAGGAAACGCAGTCAGCTCCAGGGGGATCTCACCTGCCTCCCCCTGCAGCCCTCTTTCCCTGCACAGTGACCCCCAGCTGCTTGCAGACACGTTTTCCCCACCGCTAAGCTCACATGGGCATGCATGTGTGCTGCTGCTCCAAGGCAAGTGGCTGCCTGGAGGTCTGCAGGGAATATTTCACAGTCACTGCATCCGGGCAGCGGTTCTCTTCTCCCTGACATTCAATAGCAGTGCAGGCAGCGAGTCATGGAAAGAAAATGTGTTCAATGCCTCCCCTGCCCGTGGATGGTTCCCCCTTGTGCACACGCAGGCATGTGGAAATCATCGCCCAGAGATGAGTGCTGTGCTTCAGTGACAGAGTGTTTTAATCTGAAAGCTGCTGCACAGTCAGGGGAAGCAGGGAAATGATCCATGCTGAGTGCCCAGCATGGCTTGGATGGGTCTGCACTCACCATGGGGCACCACAGGGCTCAGTAGCCACACCTGGGGTTATCAAGGGCCTGTGATGGCTGTGGGTCACCCAACTGCCCACCCTGACGTGCCATATCTCTGCTGGGCATCCAAAGACTCCTAGGGTGTAAATAGGCAAAGCGCAGTGGATGTTACCATTCCCATTTTGGAGGCAGTAGGAGAAATCCATGCAAGTTTGGCTGTTCTTTTTTAATGCAGACTGAAGCCCATTCCCAGTGCTGAGAGAGTTCCTCGTGGTCACGCTGTAAATACCTGATTATATTCAAAGCTGAGCCCCAATGAAGTGCATTCTGCTGCTGTCCCACCCATGAACTGACTCCCTGCAAACACCAATTGCTTTGCAGCTGTGGTCAGTGCACATCACTGCACAAGTCGATGGGCTGCATGCTGCACACACAGTACAGCCACCATCCACCACGTGTGTTGGCCCAGACACAGCTGACCATAGCAGCTATCAGGCCAAGTGGGGGAATCCAGCAGCAAGTCCTCCGAATTTTGCTGGTGGAGCATCACCATAACAACAAAACCACCAATCCAAGCCAGAGCTCCATGCACGTAGCAAACAGAAGCTGCCAAAGTAAGAAAAAGTAAAAATTGTGCACTGTTTCCTCTAGGATCCTACTGCAAATGCATTCCCCTGCAAAACTCCTGCAGGAAAGCCAGACAAATGCACATCAGGCACTTCTGCTCTGCAGAGGTTCTTCTCCAAGCTGTGGGACCTGGGGGGAACTGAGCTTTGCTGTGAGCTCTGCAGGTGCTTCCCAGGGCTCAGAGCAGCCCACATGCCAGCAATGGGTGCTCTGCTCTGCTTCCAAAGCAACCCAGGGGAGATTGCCCCTGCAAGTGGACCTTGTCCCCTCTGACCCTGCATGTGCAGGCAGAAGATAAGGTATTTATTCAGGGAACAATCCATCTCTGTCCCACTGACTCACTGACAAGGTTCCCTTTTCCAGTCAGTTCATGGGGTGAGCCATAGGGTGGGTGCTCCGTCCTCACTGCTAGGAGCAGACGAGTAAGCACAGCACGTGCCTTCAATCTCTGCTTCCTCCTGGGAGCTGGGGTCAGAGGGCTGCAAAGGGTGTCCCTGGGCAAATTCAATGCACCAAATGCTTCTCTTCTCCAGCAGGCAACAGAAACACCAGCAGGGCACATCTCCTGCCAACAGAAAGTGGAAGTCCCTGCTTGGACTGAAATATGCTGTGATTAAGAATGGAGCAATCAGAAGCCCAATCTTCCAGCCCGATCCAATAAGACCCCCATCAGCAGAGCATAAACTTCTGGCCTAGGCAGTGCAGGAGATTTGGATGCAGAATAATAGTGGCTCTCCCCAGCCTTCCCCCCATAGGGATGGATGGATGGATGGATGAATGGATGGATGGATGGATGGATGGATGGATGGATGGATGGATGGATGGATGGATAGATGGATGGATGGATGGATGGAAGGGAGGAGCCCCGGCAGCAAGCTGGCACTGTGCAATGAGAACAGCTTGGGTGTCACCAGCAAGGGACTCCCTCTCTGCTGCCTGTGACAGCCTCAGGAAGCTCAGCCAGGGTTTGCTGCTTGCCTCGCAGTCTGTTAGCTATTTTCAGCCCAAATGAGGAATCTAGCCCAGTTCTGGCTTCCCAAAACATTGATGCAGGCAGAAGCTTCGGCAGCATGCGAGGGATGATAAATGCCAGTACATCTCCAAAAAGCCAGGGGAGGGTTTGGGCTGCAGGTCTGCGAATGGGCACAGTGAGCACAGAGCAAAGCAGGATGGAGGTGGGAGCATGCCCAGAAAAGGTGGCTGGATATCTTGGAGTGGGGTGGGCACACAGCCCCATTTCCATGCTGGTGCATGTGCCAGCCCCCACCTCACTGCTGTAATTAGGGAACTGGAGCAGCTGGCAGCAGAGTGAGCTGAAAAAAATATCACACACAGCTGCCTATTGCTGTGAGCATGTCCTTCCCTCCTGGGCAGGTATCAGCTGCTGTAGCAGAGGGGGCTGCTGGGGCAGGGGGCTGCAGCCACAACACCCATGAAATCAAATAGCTGGCTAGTAAAAACAAAACTGGTTATGTAGGCAAGCATTTTCCCCCTCTTTTCACTGTACCTGCATCCTACGTTTGTGCACATGCAAAGGTGATGACAGGCAGAGAGATGTTCCTGGTGGTGAGACAAAGCCCTGCAGGACAGCCTGAGCCCCAGAGCTGCTGTTGGGGCATCTGCCCAGCAGAAACCCTCATGGGCTGCTGGCACGCAGCTTCTGCAAGGCAGCCTCCGGGGAGAACCTACAGCACAACCTCCTTCTGGCTGCACGCACCCATTATTTCATTAGTGCTGTAATTGCCCAGCCAGTAAGTGCTGTAACGGCATGTTGAGGCTCCTCTCCTGTTCACATGCTGCACACCTGCTATAAACACAGCCTGAAATCATCTCCCCTGACAGGCTGCAGAGAAACTTTCCCTCTGATTCCTTCTGGTTGGGGGAGCTTTGATCTGTTCTGACACAAGCTGACTGCTCCGTGGATGGGGCTGCAGCACAGTGCTCTCCTCAGGTCCCAACCTGATCCTGCCCCTGGCTGCTTTGGTTTGGTGAGCTCTGAGCCTGCACAAGGCTGCAGGCAGACAGACATTCATTGCAGTCATTTCTGGCTTGTGGGCAAAGCATGAGGCTGCTCCACTGCATCCTGCCCTGAATGACCAGGAGCGTTTCCAAATGGAAAGTGGCAGTGGTGGATGGGATGTCACGTGTGTGACTCCACCAGAAAAAAAGCAAAATACATATTTTAGGCAAGAAAGCTCTGGATACATCTCTGCTCTTGTTGTCTCACAGATCACATCAATCCACACCACAGAAGAGGTCTGTATTTGCAGATGCTGAGCCTGATTCTGCTTGTGCTCATGCTGCTTCAAGCCAGGAATAAAGTCCATAAAGCTACTTCAATGTAGAACTGAGAGTGAGAGAAAATACCAGCTCTGCTACCCAGCACTCAGCCTTCCCTCTCTTGGTTTAGTGCTTCTCCAAAGCCCCTTGGGTATAACCAGTGTATTTTTAGCTGTTTACTTATTAAACAAGCATAAGGGAGGGCTAAATGTCAAGGCATTTCTGCATACCAAGCTGGACTCTCTGCATTTATGCTGTCATACATTGGGATGCTGGAGCAAATGACTTCTGTGCCCTGGTCCTGGGGTCTGCCCACAAGCAGATGCTGCTTGTAACCCCCCAAAGAGCTGGGAGCTGAGCACATCTGTCAGAGCAGTGCAACACCCACGTGTGATCCTCTATTGGGTTTTTACCATATTTCACCCCACAGTTAATAAAGGTGCCCCATCTCCAGTGGGGAAGAGGTGCAGGGCCTCGTTCAAGGCTGATGGGCACTGAGCAGGAGGAGCCCTCAACCATGAGGACAAATCTTGGCACCATTTCCTTGCTGCCAAATCCTTTATCCTCAGACTCACAAAATGCTTCAGGGAGATATTTTAGCACACTCAGCACTGAGGTTTTACAGGAGAGAGGTCTCACTGCTCATGGCCATGAGGATGCGAACAGGGGCTGTGCAACCCATTTGGTGCCAGACCCTGGGCAGCAGCCAAACTCTCCTGGCTGGGACAGAACCACTGATATGTGCCATGCACTGCAAAGTGCCAGCCATCCCTGCCCAGCTGGGAGGGTCTGTGGGGCTGGAGCAGCTGTCTGCTTCCCTTTCTGATAAGGCACAGCTGATTGATATGATGCAGCAGGTTGGGTTGGGCAAAGAACGGTGCTATGCCAAGCAGTCCTGCTTTCAGCTGCACCACCTTGGGTGAGAAACAAGGAGGATACGAGCAGCAGGACACAGAGGATGAGGAGATAGGGAGGGGTAGAGGGGTGTCCAGCTATCTGCAATGCCTCTCTGTGAAACGGGATAGAGGGTGGGCTGCACAGAGCTGCAGCAGATTCAAGTTCTGTTTGAAGGAGGAAAAATGGTTCCTGTACAACAGAGCTGCTGCATCCCCGGCCCGGAGCTGCACACTGCCTTTCTCTGAGGTGGAAAGATCCCCGAGCTGCAGGGATGGAACAGACATCCCAGGTAACCCCATCGGATTGGCGACGGCAGCAGCTGACACCACGGGCTGAGGCTTTCCCTGGGCTTTTATCCCTGTGTCCCGTATCCCTGCTCATCCTTTCTCAGCACGTCCCGCAGCCCCGCTCCGTGGCGGCTCCCAAAGCACCGCAGGAGTTTTTGGAAAATGCTTCCACCTCGTGGCTCTGTGCAGAAACGGCCGTCTGTCAGGTGCCAGGCTGCGCCCATCAGCCCAAAGCCAGGCAGGGGCGGCTCTGTGCCACCCCATTGCCGGTCCATCCGGTCCATCACCCCCCCGCCCGGGCTGAGCTGTGACACCCGGTCTCCTACCCGAGCTTCGTTGCTCCAAGAAACCCCCACAGCTCGCATTTCCCACCACCGCCCCGCAGTTTTGGCTGTTCTTATTGCATGGGGTGGGGGGTGACACATCCGCGGGTTTGCTCTGGGCCACAGCTGTTACACCTCGCCTGCAATATCTTGAAGTCAGACGACCCCTCCCTTGCAATTCCCGGGGGTCGCCTCCCTCCCCAGCTCTGCTCCTACTGCCCGCTAGCGGGTGGATTTGGGAAAAACACCTTCCGAGCTGTAGGAGCATCCCTCCAGTGGCTTTGGAAGAGCTCTGCGCTGCACCGCGCTGAAATACCCCACGGGAATCCCCATCCCTCCCCTCTGCGGAGCTCGGTGCTGCAGAAATCCACCTCGATGCGCTCTAGCAGTGGGATGCTTTCTCAATATTCACTGCAGCAGCTCCTGGAATTTGCAAGGCTGTAAAACTTCTGTAGCCAGGGATGCATTGCAAACAGTCCAACCGTATCACAGGTTGTGCAAGCGTTGCATTTCTTGCAGTTCACTGCAAATTTGCAGGAATTCACCTTGCTATTCATCCCAGTGCTGCAATAATGCGTTCTGTCCCTCCTCAGCAGTGTGCAATGTGTCTCTGTGCCAACAGCTTCAGTTTGCTTTGAGTCTTTGCCTCTGGGAAGCAATATCCCTGGGTTCAGCAGTGCTGCCAGCATCTGCATCCCATGCATTGAACACACGGCAAACCTCAGTTCCCAGCTCTTGCAATCTTGGGCTGAACCAAACAACGAAACAGATTTCCCCAATGGGATCTGCAAACAGAGCTGAATGATTCAGTGTTTGCTGGGGGTGAGCAGGATCCCTCTTTATTTTGTGACAGCAGCAGTGTAAAGTGATTACATTTCTTGCTCTCTGTGCTTTTGTTAAGAAACAAAGTCCATGAAGGCTGCAAATCCATTCTCCATGCTCCTCATGTGCACAACGCAAAGCGATTGTTACTTCTACTGCCAGCGCCACAGCTCCACGCTGTTGCATAGGGATGTGTCCAAGTGGGGGACTCTCATGTCAGTAAGGGACTCACATGTGGCAAGGAAAGTGGGTTGCAGAGAAAACCATCCCAGGAGGACCTGTGGAAGCTCAGCAGCTCCACCTGTGCGTGCAGAGCCCTGCGGAGCTCCTGGCCTCTTGCAGTGTTGCTGACTTAAAGGCTCAGCTATTTCACTGGGCAAGATCCATCTCGCACGGGCTGACACCGAGCAGGCAGGCAAGGGTGTGAAGGACTGGAACCGGGCTCCTCTTCCACAGAACAGATCTCACCTGCCTGGATACAGAGCTTGAAAGCAGGACCCGATCCTGCTGCCCTGGCTGCAGCTCAAAGGAAGAGCTCCACACAAATGGGGAAGGAAGCAGGGAGTGGTGAATTCGGGAAGCGCTTTGTTCCACCCATGCAGGCAATTGGCACGGATGGGTCTACAGGGGGTTAAGCAAAGGCCCGTGAAGAAACCTGCCAGCTCCGTGCATCGCAGTCCCGAAGGAAATTAAATGCCTCGTGCCATATGGTGCACAGCAAGGGGGGGGCTTTGGGGCAGCATCCACCCCAGTGCACGGGGCAGGTGCAAGCTGGGGGCTTCCAACCCCAGCAAGAAACACAGCCTGCCCAGCACAAAGCACGGTGATGGGGAAGCAGGGGGAAGGCTGACACATGTGCAGCCTAACCCACTGGTAGAGTAGTGGGGAAGCAGAGCCAATGGCTGCTTCTCATGCTCAGTGAGTCTGTCCACCTCCCTGCAACCCCCCCCCCCCCCCCCGCTTCGAGTCCTTAAGTTGCAGCTTTTAACTATCTCCGTGTTCAAAGCAAATGTGATGCTCAGCGGGAACAGAAGGCAGCGCCTGCCGGCAGGTGGACGGCATGGAAAGAGCGGACAGCGATGATCCCGGCAGGACCGGCTGCTGAGAGGTACGTCCTTCCGAGGCGGGGATCCGAAAGCAATCACATTTGGGATTCAAACTCGGAGCAGACTTGAATTTTCCAGCAGGGGGAATATGGAAATCTGGCTGAAATGATTCATCCCCTTCCCACCCCTCCCATACAATCCCCGCCGCTCTCCCTCCCGCTGGGTGCCGTCGTGTCGCTGTCTGTGTGTCGGTGTCCCGGTGGCACTGTGGGGCATTGCAATATTGGCTGCTGCAGGGAGCTGAGCTGGGATCTCCCCGGTAAGATCCGTCCTCGGGGAACTGGGTGCTGCCCTGCTTCGTGCTTAGTGTGCAGTGAGGGGTCCCCGATGCTCCCAGGGGGGCAGGGAGGGATGGGCAGGAAGGGAAGTTCTGTTCTCTGTCTCCTATTGATGAGTTCTATTCCATTTCCGAGGGCTGAGTTCTATTCCCCTCTGCTCTCACAGCACACCCTGATCTGGTGATGCCTTCATCTGACCCTGTAACGGGGTGCCAGGCTGGGGGGTGGGAAGGGAGAACTGGCCTTCCCCTCCCCATTGCACCCATGTGGGTTAAGTGAGCTGTACTGCGTGCTGACCTCGGGTTGTGCTGGGGGGGATGCCCTCCCATTTGGGTGTGGAGGGGGTTTTGTACAGCCCCCGAGTGCTGTGTGGCTGCATCTCTGCAGAGGGCGGCAGGGATGACACCAGAGTGGCAAAACCCTTTGCTGGGGGGGGGGAGAAAGTAGTGACTTCTTCCCCACTGCTGGGTTGGAAGTGCGTGGGGCTTATTGCCCCCCCCAGTTAGACACACAGAGCTGCTTTCTCAAGCAGAATTAAAGAGAGGAAGAGCCATAGGGGTGCCCCAAGCAGCACCTGTCTGATTTCTGGGCAGCTTGGAGGAACTTTGGTGCTCTCGATTTTTCGGCACAATCACAGCTGCGCTCTGCCCCAGCGCAGGGCAAGGCGCTGCAAGCAGGATGCGCTCAACCCCGCTGCTGTTTCCAATCCCCACGGCTCCGGTGCCGGTGTGGGGCTGCTTTGTGTCCGTGTCTGATGTCTCAGTGGCGAGGTCGGTGCCGTCAGGTGGCGCTTGGGAATAGGCGGCAGCGCTGCGGGACGAACTTGTTGCTGAGGGATGCGCGGGCACCGGGACGCAAAGCCGAGCATCGGCCGCGCTGTTCTGCGAGGTGATGGGGAGAGAGAAGAGGAGGGGGCAACGCGCAGAGCCGTGCGCGGTTGGAGATGGGGAGATAAGCGTGAAAGCTTTTCCTGTGCTGTACTGGAAAGTGTGATTTTAAGTACAGGCTGTTTCTTCAGCTTTAAACCTGTCTGGCATGTGATTGCAGCCTCGTCACCTCGTGGGCTTTGCTTGCATGAGGTGCTCCGTGCACGTGGTGTAACGTGGGGCTGTGCAGGGTGAATGTCTGTGAGCAGGCTGAGAGCCTCAGTGTGCAACTTGTGATCAGCAGATGCTTGGGGTGCGGAGCAGAGCATGCCCCTGTGGTCTCCATAAACCTATAGCAGCCGTATAGCAACCTGCAGCAATAGCAGCCCTGCAAACCTCAGTCAGCACCCAGCACAGAACCCACAGCTTGATCAACCCAAACCATCCCAAATGCCACAGAGCTGCTGCACCCGTGTGCCACCTCCCTGCCCCACAGGGGAAAATCCACCCCAGTGCAAGGGAATGGGGTCAGGGAGAGGAGATGCAGTTAGGACTGTACATCTGCTCTCCACTTGTAGGGTCAAGGGAGGGTTTGCCATCACCCAGGGCAGATACAGCTCTCCTAACCTCTCTGTTGACTTCCAGCCCAGAGGACAAAGAGTGACAGGGCTTTGGGACGCTGTTAGACGCATAAGGTGTTTTTGGGGGATCCCAAATGCAGTGGTGTTTTGGGGGATCTGAAGCACAATGGCGTTTCTGGCAATCCGAAATGCCACGGCATTTTTGCAGCTTTGCATAAGTGTACAGAAAACAGAGAGAAGCTGAGGAAGAAAAGAGCTGCTCTGACAGCAGTAAGAGCATTCACGTCGGGGTCTGCATGCTGTTTCACTGTGGTAGATCTGATGCAACTTTCATCCAAAGATAATAAACCTCCAGTGTGATCACAGCCCTGCTCAGAAGGCAGATGGGGCAACGGGGTCAGGGCACAACAGGGTTCCCCCCCGTGTCACCAAGATGCACAGCAGCAGAACCAGCACCTTTCAGCGCATCTGGAGCAGTGCAAACCCCAGGCCTCATTCCCCCAGCTGATCCCATGGGTGCACACAGCCTGTGGCATCGCCCTGGAGCCCCACGGAGAGCGGTGTTAACCAGCAGCAAGGGATCACGTCCCCTGTTAATCAGCATTTAATTAAAGGACATGCTGACATTTGGAAATCAGAAACAATTCTCCTGTGTGGGCCGTCTCTCTCTGCTGCTCGCCTCTTCTCTGAATCACTCGCTGACATTTTGCCAGATTAGGATGTGTGTGTCTCTCTCTCTCTCTTCCTCCTTCCTTATGAAAATAAATGGAAAAGGAGATGCACAGCCACCACCGCTCCCAAGGGAGGGGATGGAGGAGCCGGGACGTCGCTGGGGAGCAGCTCCCAATCCAGCTGCCACTATGGCACAGCAGCTCCATGTGGGGCAGGTGGGGCTGTGGGTGCTGAGCAGGGTCACAGCCCACCTTGGCATGCAGCAATATAGCAGCTCCCCATCTGGAGAGCTGTGCAGGCACCTCCACGTGCAGCCCACCCCGTGCTGCTCCTCCTCTCAGCCCCAAACCTCTCGCCTTGCATTGCGTTGCATTGCAGGAGAGCAGCAAAGCCTGGTACCCAGCGAGGTGCCCCCTGCTCCCACACCTTCTGCTGCTCTTGAAACGGGGCCAGCATTTTTGTTTATCCCTCAGCTCTATGCCAGAGCTGGGAAAATGCAAACAGCGGCGAGGGATGGGGGAGGAGGAGGGATGTGGGGGGGAACCCTCACCGCTCGCTTCCCCTTGGCTGCTCATTTCAACCTTCTTTCAAGCAGAAATTACTCACATTAATCAAGAGTGAGAATGTGTTTGCAGCCCTGCAGATTTGGCAGCGTGGAATCAAATTCCATCAGTAGCAGCAGGAGGACAGGAGCCTGTATCTCTGCTGTGCACAGCCTAATAGAGCCATTGCCAGAGGAAATTGGATCTGAGAACTCCCCTAAATTAATCTACCCTTTAAAAAAATGCCAGGAGATCTACATGACAAACGAGCGTTTGCAATGGGAACTGATGCAAACATCCAGCACATCGCATCCCTGTGATCCCCTTCTGCTTTTCAAGGAGGCACAGGAGCAGCCCCAGCTGGTGGGTGGGGGTCCCAACTGGGGCCTGAAAGCTGCTGGAACTGAGCAGAGGTGCAAGGTGAGCACTGCCCTTTTTGCAGGCTGGGAACTGGTTGTGTGCTATACATGGAAAGGCAGCATCCGTGGAGGAGCAGAGTGGGGTGCAGCCAGGCCTGGGGCCACAGGGCTGGGTCCTCACACCGTGACATGGGGCACAGTGAGCAGGAGGAGGCTTCGTGGCTTTGGTTTGTGGAGTTGGGGCGCAGGTGCTGCAGCCCGCTGTGCTTTAATAGAGCTGCTGCTGCTCCAAGGTGATTGCTACTTTATTGGCTTGTTTTTAGCCGTGCGGCCGAGCTGAGAGGAAGATGGATGGGGCTCATCTTGGGTGAGACTTCTGCTTTGCAGCAGGGGCTTGGGCACGGGGCTTTGAAAGCTGCAAACAGTGAATCTCCCTGCTGCAAAGCAGGATGCTCACAGGCACCTGCCCAGGGAACGGTCCCAAGGGTGGGCATTCAGTGAGATAAATGGGCGCAAGCCCAAGTGCTGCTGGGGCTCAGCATCACCTGTTGTTTGGACCTTCCCCTTTATTTCTTCCATTGGTTACCTTCCTGCCCTCTGCATGAAGGCAGAGGGGACAAGGAGTGTGTCCTGTGCTGAGCTTCTCTTGGATATCTTTGCAGAAGGTGTTGTGGGCATTGGGTGTGAATTAGGTGTGCAGTATAGGTGGGCTCATGTGATTGCACGTGAGCAGGTCGATGTTTCAGTGGGGGTTTTGGCTCCCTGGAGAGAAGCTCTTCTGGGAGGTTTTCTTGCAGGAGCTTTGCTGGGAGCTGATGGAAAAGAATCAGCAAGGTGCCAGGCTGTGGCAAGAAGGGGAAAAGAAAACACCTGGTTGGTCTGAGCTGAAAAAGCATGTGGGTGCAGGCAGTGTGTGGCAATACCTGGTGTCCCCTGTGCCATGGAGAGCAGGGAGCAGGGGCAGCACACGTGTGCAGCACAGCCCAGCACGCAGTGAGCCCTTGGGGCTATCGATTGCCTTTACACCACAACCTGACAGATCCTCTTCTGGGGATGTAATGAAGATGGATGATCCCATCCCCTCACCGCAGTGCTTTGGGGAAGGGGGAAATTATCCACCACATCCTGGAGGGATGCTCTGCGCTCCTCTGCGCCTCGCACCCATCACTCATCTGATTTCCACCTCTCTCCACGTTTTGTTCCTCCTGACACCTTCCTGCCACTGCCTTCTGCTGCTCAGCGCCCACCAACCCACCTGGCACTGGCTGCAGACCTCACCAACAGGACGTGGAGTCTTTCTGCTAGGGGTCCCCATCCCAGGATGTGTGAAATACCAATGGATGCAGCTGAAGCTCTTGCACTGGATGCTTTGGGAAGCACACGCAGTGCTTCTTCCTCCACTGACCAGCAGTTGTGAATCCATCTTTTCAGCAACACCAGGCTTGAGCATCCGCGTGCCAGAAGGCAGTTGTGTAAGGCCATAAAAGTGATTTAAAGCGGGCCAGGGCTCTAAAAGAAAAGAAAAAAAAAGGAAGCTCGTATATTATCAGGTCTTTATTTCTCTTCTAGCTCCTACCCATTAGGATTCACATTTTCCAGCACAAACAACACAGTTGGAAATGCTTTTATATGAGAGCTGAGAATCCTCCTGACTCACAGGGCTGTGGGGAGGAGAAAAGATGGCCTAAGAGATGCAGAGCTGCC